ACTGAGATACAGGTTGTGTATCCCTTATCTGAAATGCTTGGGACCAGAAGTGTTTTGGATTTTGAACTTTTTGGATTTGGGGACATTTGTGTTACACCAATTGAGCTCCCCTAATCTGAAAATCAGCAATGCAAAATGCTCCAGTGAGTATTTCCTTTGAATATCATGTCAGTGCTCAAAAAGTTTCCAATTTTGGAGTATCTTAGATTTCAGATTCTCCCGTTAGCGGCACTCAATCTATAATAGTATGAGGGCCCCAGGGCTGCTGGGGGCACTCCTGTCACACTCACGATCTCACTCCATGCTAGCTCCCTTCCCTTAAACCTCCCAATCTAGACACCTGGCTGTGGGAGGTCTCCTGTTCATTCACTCAGCAAATCTCTGGGCACGGCTGATCTGTGCCGGGGCCTGAGCGTGGAAGAATGAAGCAGCCGAGAGGGCTGGTTAAGAGGCTACCTCTGCAGAGACTGCTTTGCCGCTTAAGTGCTGTATGACCTCAGGCAAGTCATTTCACCTGGCTGTGCTTCCATTTATCTTAGTAAAATGGGGATAAGCATGGTGCCTGCCTCTAGGGCTGTTGAGAAAAAACGAAAATCAAGCAAGTAAAGTCTTAGCACAGTATCTAGTACATAGTAACCACTCATTGATGGCAGCTATTAGGATATTACTGAGGAGTTTTCAAAGTCTGATGGGGAGAGGGGGCAACTAATCAAATAATTGTCATGCAATGGAATCACCGCTAATACCAGCACAAAGCAGGCATTGGGGGCACACGGGAAGGAGGAACTAGGCCTGCCAGGGGAAATCAGGGAAGGCTTTCAGGAGGAGGTGTCACTTGAAAGCTAAGTAGAATTTCACCATGACGATGAGAGGAAGTACATTCCTGATCGGGGGGACAGCAGTTAGTTACAGAAGCTCAGAGACTCTTGGAGGCACAAGGAGATGCTTACTGACTGTGCCTGGGGGAGTTTCAGGACACGGAGCTGGGAAGGTGGGTGGGAGATGATGGCAACCACCTTTCTGGCCTGTCTGGGGGATTGGGACTCCCTCTGGGGCAGCAGAGAGCAGGAAAGAGACAAGATCAAATTTGCCTTTGGGAAAGATGACCCAGACAGAGGGTCCAGGAGGGTGGCACAGGGCCAGGACACAAAGCAGAGACTAAGGAGGCTGCACCTGATGTGGAATTCAGGGGCAATGTTGGGGGCAGTCTTCAGACTACACTCCCAAGACCCCAGCCAGGAAGGAGGGGCTGGGGCAGGCTGGGGTAGAGGATGGGGTGGGGGTGACCATGACCTCAGTCAGCTGGGACCAGAGCTGAGGCAGGGGGTGGGAAGGGGGCTGCCCGCACACTGAGTCACTCGACTTATTGGATTTCTGAGAAATTGCTCCCCTCCCCCTCATCTCGGCAGCCAAGGCCACTCCATTAAAGCTGTACTGTCAGTCAGCCTAGGCCCAAGAGCCCAGGTACAAAGCAGGAATCGGCTGGACATAGACAGACAGATCCATGACCTTGAGACCTCTTAGAGTCAGCCCTGGAAGGGCTGGTGCTCAGGGCTGGCCACATAGGGAAGCAAGAGGGGGAAGTGATTAGGGGTGTGGACACTGAAGCTGGCCACCCTGCTTCAAATCCCAACTCCACCCTTAGCAGCTGTGTGACCCTGGACCACTTCCCTAATCTTTCTGTGCCTCAAATGGGGATTATTGAAGCACCAATTTGAGACAGAGGGTCATTTTGAGGATGATTAAATGAAACTCATCAAGTGCTGGGCAAGGCACAGGCTCTCAGTGGGTGACCGGTGCTCTTGTTGATGTTGAGGGTGGAGTTACCTAATGTCCCAAGCCCTAACTCAACCCTCAGCCTTCAGAGGCTGCCCCGAAATAAAATCCAAGCTCTTCACTCATCATCAAGGCCATTCACATGGGCCCCTGTTTGCCTCTCCAGCCTCTTCTGCAAGCCCATCCCTGCTCCTGCCATTCTAAGCCTCCAATGCCAATCCTCCATCCAATTTCACACCTCCACACCTTGACCTGTGCTGGTCTTCTGCCAGCAGGACCCATACCTGGCTCCCGAGTCTATCTGATAAACTCCTTGTTTCTAGAGTGGACCTCAGCTAAGATAACCAGGGAAGCAGGAGGTATCCACCTGACAGATGAGGAAGACGAGGCTCAGTAATGAGCAGCTGTCCAAGGCCACTCAGGCAAGAAGCAGAGATGAGAACTCAGGTCGAGGCTGCCCTCTGCCAAGCTCACAGCCCCGCCTGCCCTGCCTCACTCCCACAGGGGCCTTGGGCTCACCAGCCTCTCCCTGATGCCCTGCCTGGTTTGGTGGCTGACAAAAGAGACACACATTCTTTCCTTTGCTGGGAGAAGCCACACAGCACCAGAGAGACTTCCCTTCCTGCCTCAGCTGCCCCATGTTCTGGCTGGGGGACCTCAAGCAGGTTATGAGTAAACCCATAAGCCCCTGTTTGTAAGTGGAAGGAATGGCCGAGGGGTTGCCGTGCCCAGGCTTGCGTGAGTTTAGTAGAGCACACAGAGAGGGTGGCATCGTGCTTGGCTCCTCAAACGGGCACCCATGTTTTATTTCTCATCTGCATAACTGTCAAACATGGACATTCTCCCATCTTACAGATGAGGACACTGAGGCTCCAAGAGCGGAAATGACCTGCCTGGAGGTCACACACACAGTGACAGAACAGGAGTCAAACCAGTGCTTTCAGCACCAGGCTCAGCACCTTCCCCAAGCGACTCTCAAATATGTCCTTAAGATGCCAAAGAAACAACCCCCAACATTTATTGAGCACTTACTGTGCGCCTGTTCTAAGCCCTTGAAGTAGCTCATTTAATTTCACAACAACCCTAATGCCTGCACTGTGATTATTCTCAGTTTGCAGAGGGGAAAACTGAGGCCCGGCGCGCCTAAGATTCAGTGCCCTCCCCAAGGTCGCACCGCTGGTGAGAGGCTGGATTCGGACCAGAATGAGGGCTGGCTGACTCCTGACCCAGGGTGGTAGCTGCAGGCTAGGAGTGAGGTCGGGTTGGGATAAATAATCCGGGGCCAGGCTGCGAGAGGGGCACGGGAGGCAGGGAACAGAGCCCGAGCCTGGCCACCCCCGGGAGACACCCGCCCCTCCCCAGCCAGAGGATCCGGACTCCGGGACGCCTCCCACCCCGCCCCCGCCCCCGCCCCGGGCCGCCGCTCGCCGCCCCTTGCCAGGGTTAAGCTGCAGCTTAGCGGGTCCCAAGGGCTCCCCCCCAGGCGCGCCCCGGAAGCCGCGGCCGCGCATTTCATTAGAGCCTTGGCCGCGGCCTCGGGGCCCTTCCCGGAGCCTCTCCGTCTTCTCCCCACTCAAATATCACCTCCCCGGGGACACGTCTTCATTTCTTCCTCCCCTTGCCTCGCTCTGCGGAGCCGGGCTCAGTGCCAGGCCCTGCCCGGGGCCCTGCGCTCGGCCCGGGGAGGCCTCTCAGTAAACAGGCAATTACCCCGCGCGAAGTGCGCCCTTCAGTAATAAGATTAATGAAAATAATAGATCACATTCGTGCCACGCTTCCAGTAGTCACTGTGAAGAAAGCGCTACATAAATTAACTCATACGATCCCCGACAACCCTCCGAGGAAGTACTCCGGACAGACAGGGAAACTGAGGCCCGAGGCCATGCTCTATTAAATGGCACAGGCTCACGCAAAGGCCATTTCCAGAGTCCTCCATGCTGAGAAGGACAGCTGTCATTTCGAAGAACCAACTTCATTTTAAACCTCACCACCCTGAGTACCAAAGAAACCCTATTAAATCAGGAGGGAGATATAACCAGAGTAATTACAACTCCATCTTCTCAGGAGGTGGGGAGGGGGAAGCTGGGCCTTGAATCTGGAGCTAAACTTTCTACCAAAGCCCCGTGCATGCCTCCAGATCACAAGCTTCCCTGTGCCATGGAGCACAGAGTAATATCTGTGAGGGATATTACATATACAGGGAGGTATCAGGAGAGGCTTCCTAGAAGAGGTGATATTTGAACTGGGCCTTGAAGGATGCCTAGGAGTTGCAGAAGAGATTGCCACAGCACATGCAAAGGTCAGAAGCCCTGGGGACAAGTCCTGAGTACCCCTCTGAACTGCTGGCTGACTTTTACTGTCCACTCCCTGACCCTCCGTTTCTTTATCTGCCAAGTGGAAATAATCGTCCTGAGGTTGTCAAGACTGCGTGAGATTGTGGAAGTAAAAGTGCTTGGTGAGCTGTCACTGTGGGGGAGGAGGAGGGTTGCTGGAGCGCTGACCACCTGCTGCCTGGAACGCTTCTTAGCTCTTCATGGAAATGACTTTTCTCTGCTCGTGAAAAATAAGATGAATTATATCCCTGTGCTATCAGTGAGGAAACTAAGGCCCAGTGGCCCAGTGAGATTAAAGAACATGACCAAGATCACACAGCAGAAACTAGAAGAGTCAGGTCAAGCATGGTGGCTCACACCTGTAATCCCAGCACTTTGAGAGCCCGAGGCAGGTGGATCACCTGGGGTCAGAAGTTCAAGACAAGCATGGCCAACATGGCAAAACCCTGTCTCTACTAAAAATACAAAAATACACCAGGTGTGGTGGCACAAGCCTGTAATCCCAGCTCCTCAGAAGGCTGAGGCAGAAGAATCGCTTGAACCCGGGAGGCGGAGGTTCCAATGAGCCAGGAGCCCGCCACGGCACTTCAGCCGGGGCAACAGAGCAAGAAGTCGTCTCAAAAAAAAAAAAAAAAAAAAAAAAAAAAAAAAAAAGAAAAGAAAAAGAAAAAGAAAGAAAGAAAGAAAAAGAAGTAAGAGGGGGAAAAAAAGAAACTGGAAGAGTCAGAATTTGCGCCAAGATTCATGTGACTACAAAGACATGGCTTTGCTGTGTCAGCTCTCATGGCGACCCCATATACCATTGGGTTGACCCATCACAACCTTTCTCTTGCAATAGCACAATGAAACAGTGTTGCTTTGCATTCTTATAAATAACGTTCAACTGACATCTTTGTGCACAGATTTTTCCATAGTTTATATTATTCCCCTAGGACAGATTCCCAAATAAGATTACCGGTTCCAGAAATAGGAACATTTTTATGGCCTTTGATAAATATTTTCCAGTTGCTTTCAGAGCGGTTCCCAATTCACAGTTCCACCTGCAGCGTATAAGAGAGATGTTTCACTAGATCCTCACCAGTTACTTTTTTTAATCCTCTAAATGTACAAGAGGAAAATGGTATTGCATAGTGTGCTGGTTTTATTATTATTATTATTATTATTACCAATGAAGGTGAGTGTTTTTAAGGGCTGGAAACAGGGTCTGTATCAGAAGGAGAATCACTTCTGGGAGGTGGAGGTTGCAATGAGCCAAGATCCCACAACTGCGCTCCAGCCTGGGCAACAAAGCAAGACTCTATCTCAAAAAAAAAGAAAACAAAAGGCCCCTGAGAGAGCCTGGAGTCGATGCAAAGGCACTCAGAGTAGAGAGCATTCATTTCTGGTGGAGAAAATGAATGCGTGGCCAGGACAGTTGGGGGTTGCTCTTTCTGGAGCACTCTTTCCGGGCGGGCTTCTCGTGAGCTGGCTGCTCCTCATCCTTCAGCTCTCAGCTCAAATCAAACGTCAGCTCCCGGGAGAGGCCCCCTGACCCGCACCATCTAAGGGGGCCACCTACCAGGTTCTCTCTGAGTCATTATCTTCACAGCACTCAGCATACCTGAAGTGCTTATTCATTTGTTTCCTGGCCCTGTTTTCTGCCTCTGCCTCTAGAACTCAAGTCCTTGAGAGCAGGGATCTTTCTGCTTCAATTTCTAATGAATTTCCAGTGCCTAGGACAATGCTTTTCATTAATTAATTGTTTCCTTTTGTGGGTCATCTTGCCAGCCAGCAGTGCTATTGCTGTCTGCATCACGTTCCAATGGTGGAATAGGCCTCTTTTCCTGCTCCCTAAATCTATCTCCAACACCGCTTACCCAGGACACGTGTGTACATAGCTGACTCTCATGAAGTTTAGGGCCACAAGAAGTCTTTACACCGCCCTAGTGCTCAGCCCGCCTTCCCCACGTTCAGGGCTCCGCTTCCTTAGAACTCAACCCCCCTCTCCTCTCTTATCAGCCTCTGGAGACCCACAAAATATTCCTGCTCCACCAAAGGCCACCCACTCCGGGTCCCCTGTGAAGCTGCAGCTCCAGAAAACCTGCAAAGCCTCCGGAATACCCATTGTCCCCCTCATCTCCCACTGGGCTCTGTGCAGCAAAGGAAGTTGTGTAGAATTTTATCTCCCTGAGACATGAATTACACCACCACCCCCCCATCCCCTGTCTTAGAAGCAGAGTGGGAAGTGGAATAGACTGTTTTGGTTTTTAATAATACATTTTTTTCTCTCTGTTCTCAAATCACGTCAGTCTACAATTAACCATCACATGGTAGTATTTCTCCCTTGGAGCCTCCAAGGAGTCTCTTGGGTGCATAGAAGCCGTCTCTGTGGTTTCGAATGGCAGGTGCCACCTTCCTCCTCGTCAGCTCCATTTTGGGCAAGGCCCCAGTGACTTGCTGGAAGCCACTGGGGAGGTTCCGCTGCCAACGCCACCAAGATCACCAGCTGGTACTTCCTTGGGTGAGCGTGAGTTGGGATGACAGCCTCCTCAGAGGCCCCAGGGAGAGGAGTTCTGTTGGGTTCAAGTGAGTTTCCATATTCCAAAGGAGAGATGACTGTCACCATTAAAAAACAGATTGACCCGGATGAGTGGTTAAAATTGCAAGGCAAAGTGAAGAAGTGATTCAGCGCTAATGAGTATTGATTACAGAGAGGAAGCTGGTTAATTGAGTGAGTTGGTAAGTTGGTTGCCAAGGTAACATCTCACTTGGAATAACATCATCCTCACAGTGGGCACAGACTGGATCTGGGTAGAGACCAGCGGTATAGTGGAATCTTTCCTGTTTGGAGACAGAGAAGACGAAACTGGAAATGTTGGACAGAGCTGGAGATAGGAAGTTTAAAGCATTCCCTGACATAACCAGGGCTGTTTTCATTCTACCAAGAAGATATCCGCACGTGAGCCTGAGAACAGAGCCTCCCTCTGCGCTCCGTTCGTGGTGTTTAGACTCAGGGGAGAAAGCTGGGGCGCCGCTGTGGTCAGTGAGCAGCCTATCGACTTTCCACTGGCTAGAAATCGCAGGCGTGAGAGGAAGGATCCATTTTCCTGAGGTTTAAGAGAAAAGCCAAGTTTTATTTGCATAGACAATAATAACAGTTGAACTTAGAAGAAAAGGAACAGTGTCTGCCTAAAGTTTATATTTCTTTACATTTTGCTCTATATTTGATCATGTTAAATGCTGAAAATAGGCTGCTAGAAAGATCAAAGCGAAACTGATGTCCCCATCTAGTAAATATTCAGAACTTTAAGGCATGCGGTTTCTTTACTAACTTCACTGATTTTGTCCTTTTTACATAGCCTTGGCCTTCCTTCATCCTGATTTCCTCAATTATCTTTACCCCATTACATTCATATAATTTGGCAAGCCACCTCGAATTCTTTTTGGAATGAGATGAGACGGTAAGTAAATCTGAAATGTCTGAAAGGTGTTGTAATAACAGGTAAATTTTTAGTATTTTTAATTTTTTTGTATTTTTATTAGAGACAGAGTTTCACCATGTCAGCCAGGCTGGTCTTGAACATCTGACCCTCAAGTGATCCACCCAGTTCAGCCTCCCAAAGTGCTAGGATTACAGGTGTGAGCCATTGCACCCAGCCCTGAGTCTTGAGGGTTACATCTCACCTTTTAGTTATGCCTACCTGGAGTAGGCATTCCTGATACACCTGTTAATGGTGTTCGCCTGATTGCAGTGAATAAACCCCAGAGTCAATATCTAAAAAGATATTAAACCTCTATCTGCAACTACCAAGGGAATGAAACTGTCACAAAGCCTGTAAAAAGTTGAGAGGTTGTTTTTCTGAATGGGTGGCATCTGCTTATAGCCTCTGTGGGATGGTTAACAAAAAATAGCTGGGCTCTGTCTGCATGAATTGACATGGATGAGGTGTGATTTAATTATGACCATCAAAATCATGCTGGATTATCACACATTGGGCCATGAGCAGCTGTCCTCCATTTCCTCTGAGGACAGCAAAAGACAGGAAAGCAACCACCAGCAGCTATGTGTCAGAATTCTTAATGCTCAGACCACAGTGGAAATAACTTTAGTCGTTTTTATGGTTGCACAACGAACTTAGCACCTTGGAGACCAAAATTGCAGGTATTTCTCTATGCACACATACAGACAGATCTTCTTCTAACAAAATTGAGTTATACTGTGCCTTTTTGAAATTTGCTTTTTTATTTACCTAACATGTCGTGAATATCCACACCAGTAAGTTACCTTCTTCATCCTTTTTTTTTTTTTTTTTTTTTTTAGACGGGGTTTCCCTTTTTTTTTTCCTTTTGTGTTGTTATGGCGGCATTTCGGCTCACCGCAACCTCCGCCTCCCGGGTTCAGGCAATTCTCCTGCCTCAGCCTCCTGAGTAGCTGGGATTACAGGCACGCGCCACCATGCCCAGCTAATGTTTTGTATTTTTAGTAGAGACGGGGTTTCACCATGTTGACCAGGATGGTCTCGATCTCTTGACCTCGTGATCCACCCGCCTCGGCCTCCCAAAGTGCTGGGATTACAGGCTTGAGCCACCGCGCCCAGCCCTCTTCATCCTTTTAAAGGCTATCTAGAAATCCATTCTGTGAATGGACCATCTTTTATTTATTCAAGTATTTTGTACATCTAGGTAAGGGAGTTTGTTTGTTGGCATTTTTAAAGGTTTTTTGGGGGGTGCTATTAGAAACTCCAAGACATCCTTGTAATCATATCCTTGGCACATCCATGATTATTTGGTTTGAATAAATTCTAAGAAGAGAAATTTCTGGGTCAATTTGTATGCAAATTGTAAAGCTTTTCATAGATACTTCCAAATTGCAGAAAGTTTCTAAAACCCAATTTACATCTAGGAACCATTTTTTAAAGATAATTAGTTTAAGTAGACATAGAGAAAAATCAGAAAATAATATGAGCAAACGTATGAAAGTCAAAATCACTCGAAGTCTCACTGCCCAGATATGACGTCTGCTGCACCCTCCTCTCCCTGTATCCATGTCTCTGTCTCTCCCTCTCCTTCTCTTGTTCTCAAACTTTTTCTCTCTCTCTTACTCTGCCTGTGTCTCCTGTTTCTCTAGCTCTGTGTCTCTGTCTCTTTACCTCTCTTCCTCTCCCGTATCATTTTTTTTTTTTTTGAGACGGTGTCTTGCTCTGTTGCCCAGCCTGGAGTGCAGTGGCATGGTCTCAGCTGACTGCAACCTCTGCTTCCCAGGTTCAAGTAATTCTCCTGCCTTAGCCTCCAGTGTAGCTGGGATTATAGGCCCCTGCCACCACGCCAGTCTAATTTTTGTATTTTTAGTAGAGAAGGGGCTTCCCATGTGGCCGAGCTGGTCTCAAACTCCTGACCTCAAGTGATCCACCCACCTCGGCCTCCCAAAGTGCTGGGATTACAGGTGTGAGCCACCATACCCGGCCTCCATAGCTATCTTTCTTGTTCCTGTTCTGTGTCTCACTCTGTCTCTGTCTCTACCTGCCCATATACATCTTGTTTTCCTCTTTCTCTGTCTCACTCTTTCTGCCTCTGCCTCTTTCTCTCTCTTTCAATAAAACTAGGGTCACCCTCCACACAGCTTTTCAAAGCCTGGGCAGCACTAATAATCTCTCACACTTTGGCAGAGCTTGGGGACTGGCAGGGTATATTTCACATGTTATTATCACCTTTGTTCAGGTGAGACCCCGAGGCGCCATGCAGCCAGTTGTTCTTGCCCAAGGCCCACAGCTCACAAGTGTCTCCAAGTCCAGAACTTTCAAGGCTCCAAGCTGTCCCAGGCACCTGCAGAGCCGTACCCCTGCCCCTGATGTACCTGCATGGACCCACACATGCTGTCTCCCTTGGGGGCCATATGGTTACCAGGTCAGTCGGGCAGCTCAGCTAAGACCAGGGCTTGGTGTAAGCCCCCAGGCTGTCTCCAGGAATCCCAGGCTCCTACCAGGATGAGGACGGGAACAGGGAAGGAAGCTGCCTCTTGCCTCCAGCTCTGGGCCACAGCATGCATCCGCATCCACCTGGCCCCGAATGTCTGCTTCTTTCATCCCTCGACACCCCCCGCCACCTGCTTCCTGCACATTGCTTACCATCCAAGCCCCACAGCCCAACACCCCCACACCTCCTCCTCTCTCCTCCCTCATTAGGAGGAACTCATCTGTCAGGCCTTGGCCTCCGCCCTCAGTCCAGCAGGGCTGCCCCTCCCTGGACCCCTCGAAGCACCCTCTTCTGACCCCTGGCCTAACGTCCCCACACAGGTTCTAATGGCCAAACTGGCAAAGTCCCTGCTGTTGCCCATGCCTCCAAGCCTAGTGCTCCTGGACTCAGGGTGTGCTCCGCACGCTGGAAGCACGGGCCACACCAGTAAAAGGTAAGCACAGGTGTGTTCCTGGCTCCAACAGCCCTCCTCCCCTCCTCTCTTCTCCTTTCTTCTCTTCCTTTTCCTCTTCTCTCCTCCCAGCTCCTCTCCCCGCCTCTCCTGTCCCTTCCTCTTATCCTGCCATCTGCATCTACACTTCCGCCTTTGATCTCACCAAGCTCCATGGCTTTAGTCCTCATGTCTACACTGTCAATAGCTAAATTTGTATCTGCAGCCCGGACCTCTTCCTTGAACTCCAGACCTGGGTATCTACTCAGCTGTCTCTCAGGCCTCTCAGACACAGCACATCCCAAAACCAGCTCTGGATCTTCTCCCTGCACAAACCCAGCTGTCCAGCATCCCACCGCCAGCACCACCTGAGTCTCCCCAGCCCAGTAAGCAATATCAGCACCACATGGTCGCTCAAGGCAGAAACGAGGAGCTCTGCTTTCTGCCTTCATGTTCCCCACCTGCTACTTACAAGTCCCTCAGCAAGGTCTGTCTACTCTATGTCCAAGCCAGTCAAGCTCAGCAGCTTCCCTCCGCGGCCGTGGCCAGCACCATCTCCAACCAGGAGACTCCATGTATTCCTGGCCCCCTCATGCCCCTCTGCTACCCACTCCCCACACAGCAGCCAGAGGCAGCTGCTTCTCACATGCCAGGTCAACTCACTCTCCTGCCTAGCACCCTCTGATGGTTTCCACTGCCCTTAGAACAAACCATGCCGCTTATCCCAGCCCACGAGGCTCTGCGTGATCGAGCATCTGCCTGCCTCCCTGGCTCATCCCAGGCCTCTCTGCCCTTCGCTCACCACCTCCAAGCTCCTCTGAGGACACAGCAATCCCGTTCCCACTGCAAGGCCTTTGTCCCTGCCTGGGTCTCTCTTCCCTCTCATGTCTGGCTCTTCCCATTATGCGGATCTCTCATCCTTGTGTGTTATTTGCTCAGAGGGATCGTCCCTGAGCATCGTCCCCACCCATCACGCTCTAACTATCTCAACGCTCTATTCATAACACGTTGTATTTTTTGCTCTTTTTTCCCATCTCCCCCAGTAGGTGCTCCATCAGGGCAGAAACCAGGTCATCTCATCGTTGGTGCATGATAGAAATTAACCGACCAAATAATGAAGTGGTGAAGAGGGCAACTTCGGTGTCAGACACACCTGTGTTCTCCTTCCTGCTCCGTCACGTGTGTGACCCTGGACAGGGTCCTCCATCCTCTTCCCCTCAGTGGCTTTGCCAACAACTTGGGAATAAGAATCCTGTGTCATGGGGTTGTCATAAAGATAAAGTGAGATGAGGTAAGTGCAGTTCTTAGCATAACAAATGCATTCAATGCAAATAAAAAGCGCTCAATAAATGCAGACATTATTAAGCACGTTTGTTGGATGAACAAGCAATCCCATAAAGCACGTATTTAGAGACGTGGAACCCAAGACTGGGAAAGAGGGAGCAGCTTGTTCCAGGTTGCATGGCTACCAAGTGTCAAGTTCAGGGTCCCCTCCCAGCCCAGTCCGAAAGCAAGCTTCATGGCCATAGCCTGGCAATCCTCTGAAACCGGGCATTCCTGGGGCATGGTGTGCATGCGGTGGAGTGAACAGATCAGAACTCAGAGAACAGCTGGGCCAGGGAGAAACTGAGGGAAGAGGATGCAGCACCAGGACCGAAACGGACCAGGACACAGAAACAGAACAGGCAGGACATCGAGCAGCAGCCACGTAAAGACTTGTTCCCAATTTGTCTAAATATAAGAGGATGTGGGTCTCCATGTCCTGGATTGATGCAGGATCCTGAAGCCACCCAACGGCCTCTGCATGCCAGAATCCCATTCTGCTGCCCTTCAGGGCTCTCTCTCCCTGCCCCTGGCACCGTGGAGGGGTGGGTGCTCAGGCAGCCAAATGACCACCCCCGGGCACCTCCTCGGGACCCTGTGGTCAGGGGATGCAATGCATCAGCAGGTGGGCTAGGGTCCAGGCCCATCCTGGAAAAGGCCGGCTGCAAGTTTCCATGGAGCCCGTCGTCATGGTAACCAAACCTCCGCGGCAGGACTCCAGCAGAGCCAGGAAAGACAAGCTCCTTTCTTGTCCATATCCCAGGAGCCTGCGGGAGGGGGGGCGGAGGGAAGTGGGGACAATCAGGCTTTCTGAACCAGGATGGGGGTGGGGGCAGAGAGAAGTGGAGGTTGTCTTCCTGCTCAATGGGTCAGCCATAAACTGCCAGAACGCGGCACCCTATTTCACGCCTCTGTGCTTTGCTCTCGCTCTTCTCTCCCCTGGAATGCCCTCCCCCATCCTCATCTCCCTGGAGCCCTCCCAGCTGTCATCCGTGACTCACTGACCCTTCTGGGCAGATTCAGTCCTTCCCTCCTCTGGCCACCTTTCGCACATCCCCAAGGTGTCTGGCTCACCCACGAGCTTGAGGGGTGTGGTGGTGGTAAGGGCAGAGGCTCTGGAATCAGGGAGACCTGAGTCATATCCCAGCTCTGCCATGAACATGCCAGTGACTCTAAATAAACCACTTATCCTCTCTAAGCTTCTACCTCCTGCTTCATGGGTCAGTCCTCATCTGCCATCATCCAGCTGTGTGATCTTCAGTAAGTTTCCAAACCTCTCTGAGGCTCAGTTTCTTCATCTGAAAAGTAAGGTGATGTCCATGGGCTGCCTGATGCACACCTTGCATGTAATAAATGTCACAGGTCGTTCTCATGTGCAGTGAGCATTGCCTCTCTGCCCCCTGGGGAGTGGACTTCCAGTCCCTGCCAGGTCTGGTTTATCCCTGAGTTTACACTCAGGCCCCCAACCCCTGTACTAAATCCCTCCCCTCTGCTAGGAGTCCTGGCCTGGCATTGTCCATGCCTTTCAGAGTAGGGTCTTTGAGAGGCACGAAGCTTTCCCTACTCAGAGCAGGGACTGGCACGCAGCACAGAGCTGACATTTCCAGCCTGACATCTGAGAGCAAGCATTGTGAAGGAGAATAGATTCCCCGAGAGCTTCCTGACAGCAGGGCCAGCCTTTGCGCTCTGTGTGTGTGTGTGTGTGTGTGTGTGTGTGTGTGTGTGTGTGTGTCTGTGTGTATGGCTGTCAGCAAATGCTCTAACATGCACACACAAACACATATGTATACCCATGTCCTCACAAATTCACACACACACACCACACACAAAACTGACCCAGGAAAGTGCAAAGATGTTCCTGATCACCGTGGTCCACGTCCCAGGGACCAGCCCATGATCCCACTGCTTCCCAAACCACTCCCTCTGGAGCCTACCCCTGAGGCTCTGTGCTGTTTATGGAATAGGTGAGGGGTGAAGAAATGGCCCTTCATGGTCTCATCATCCTGGGACTCAACAGGGGAAGTGAAAGGCCAGGTCACCATCCAGACAAGCAGTCTACCTGTCCACAGGTCTCCAAGGACACCTGTGGCATTTGGATACCTGAGATCAGACAAGCATCCCTGCCCCCACTGCTGCTGAGCAGGCCCAGCTACAGACTGTCACACCCACACCCTGCTGCCACCTCCCTTCGAGTTCCCTGGCCCAGGCTTGAGTCTCAGATACTGCCCCCCAGCCCCTTTGTTTCATCCTGGGAGTCAGCGTCCACAAGGCCAGGCCATATGCCCTGTCGCCCTGGTCTCCAACCCATCCTGAAATGCAGGCAGGGGAAGTGGTCACCTCCTCCAAACCATGAAGCCGATCAGTGCCAGCTGACATTTATTGAGCACTTGCCCTATGCCAGCCGATGTTCTAAGCACCGTACCTGTATTTCTTCCTCAACTCTCACAATAACTCTATAAGGAAGGTGATCTCATCATCCCCATTTTACAGATGGGGACACGAGGTGCAGAGCAGTTCAGAAGCACAGCTAAGATGGTGTTCCAATGGGAATTTAAACTCAGGCATTCTGGATGCACTGCCCAAACTACACTGTGTCTACTCAGCCACACTGACCTGGGCACAGCCAGAATGTGAGAGGACTCAAAAGGTGGCATTCCAGTTCCTCTCCTGACTTTGGAACATACGGGTGACAGTCAGATGGTGGGGCAGAATAATACCAGCTCTATTCATTCATTTCACAACTGTTTACTGAGCACCTACTATGTACTTACTGAGCACTAAGCACTGGGGATATCACAATGAAAAAAGAAAACAACCCTTAGTCCCATGGAGTGGTTATTTTGGTGGGAGAGATACAATAAACAAAGTAAACAAATGAAATAAACTGTATTTGTAGTAAGTGCTAAAGAGAAAAAAAAAGCAGGGAAAGGGAATGAAATGTCAAGGGGTTGGTGTGGGGGAGGGGGTGGTGCACTCAAGAAGCCAAGAGTGTGATACTTAAGACCTAACTAGCAGCTGGGCGGGGTGGCTCACGCCTGTAATCCCAGCACTTTGAGAGGCCGAGGCGGGTGGATCACAAGATCAAGAGATCGAGACCATCCTAGCCAACATGGTGAAACCCCATCTCTACTAAAAATATAAAAATTAGCTGGGCATGGTGGCTGGTGCCTGTAGTCCCAGCTACTTGGGAGGCTGAGGCAGGAGAACTGCTTGAACCCGGGAGGCAGAGGTTGCAGTGAGCCAAGATTGCACCATTGCACTCCAGCCTGGTGACAGAGCGAGATTCCATCTCAAAAAAAAAAAAAAGCTAAGTGGCTAAGTATGGTCATGCATTCATATTCATCTGCTGGAAGAACATTCCAAGCAAGGGCCATGAGATAGGAGCCGGCCTGGGGAGCCCAGAATCAGCATGGTCAGTGTAACTGGAATGAAGTGACAGGGAGGGGCACAGGTGAAGTAAGGTTAGATGAGGCCAGAGGGGACCAGGGTCGAGGTGGTGAGCGCTCTGTGGGTTGCCACGAGGAATGTGGCTTATGCTCAGGTGACCTGGAAAGCCAGTAACGTGAAGTGATGTCACAGACAAAGCTTCCTGGAGGAGGCAGCTTTAGCCAAATGGGCTTGTGAGTACCCCCACCCCTGAATTAGACTTATCCTCTGTCCCTGGCAGTGCTGAGCAAGCACAGACCTCCCCAGAGGGGCAAATCTAGCCTGCTGAGCTTAGCTGCTACTGAAGAACCACCCAGAACATAAGCCCCTCTGCAGGCAGGCTGCGCTGGGGACACAGGCTATGCCCAGTGGGAGGCAAGCTGAGCAGGTCCCTCACCCCACACTCGCCCGTCAGCTCTCTGGGCGGGAGTCAGGGAGGGACAGAGAGAGGCCAGGCATGTTCCTGGTGGATGCCTTTCCACATTTGGTTATTAAAAGGCAAGAAATGAGTCTGGTCCATGCATCTGAAGGCGGGGAGTCTGTCTCAGGCTGAGAATGCACAGGCTTTGATTCTTCATTCATATCAGATGGCCACCAACTCCCTCAACAAGAATAAACCCTCATGTCTACAAAGAAGTATACATTCTGTCATATGCTTCCCAGTTAAAGGAGGAGAAACCAAAGGCTCGCAGCCCCAGAGATCGGCGATGAAGCTGAGGTTTAAGCCCAGGTCTGGCCCACTCCATGGCCAGTGGTCCTTCCATATGCCCCACCCGATAACTAGGGTAGCATTAGCATTTCAGCTGCGCCAGCAGCACTATCTACATTTGGAAGTTGTATGGAAAAACTTACAAGATGAAAGATCTTTTAAGTTATGTGTATTTTTACCACAATAAAAGTATAAGTAAAGCAATAATAAAGAAGAGTAAATATAAAATAGTACCCTGCTATCTACATTTATCAGTAATCTTGTGTGGTTCACAATGACGGTGGCTAACGTTTGGGAGTGCTGACTCTGCTAGGTGCTGCACCAAGCGCTGTGCAGCTTCTCACCGACTTGTGGGGCAGGAGACCCCTGGGGGGCATCTCCCCTTGTATTCTAACCTTTGAGTCTGCAACTCTCAGATGTTTCTTGGGATACCTGAGAGGACTAAAGATCTCAAAGAGTGTTCCCTTCCCCACGCCTCTCTTCTTCCTTACGACATCTGGACGGAGGAGTAGCTGGGTCTCCCAGAGGAAGGGCAAGACCCGCAGCCCCTCCACTGACAAGGGTCTCAAACAGAACCCGAGACTCTTTCTCTGCTTGGCCAAAGGTCAGAGGGACTTAGCCTTGGAGTAACTAGTTATGACGCCTTGGACGGGTCACAGAAGTTCCTCATTCCAGCAAATGGAGGGGAAGTGACTGGTATTAGGTTGCTTTGAGGTCTAAATATGAGAATACATATAAAGCAGCCGAGGATAACACAAGGTATGGTTATTAGGGGGCAGGAATTGGTCCCTATTCATGTCAGACAGGGAATAACAGAATGCAGTTTACAGCAGTGGCTTTCTAAAAAGCATGCATTGTCCTTTCAGCTGCTAGATGGCTGGTTCTCAAGCTTTAGCCCCCAGGGGAGGGGGAGCTGTTGAAACAGACTGCTGGCCCCACTCCCCTGGAGTTTCTGATTCTGCAGCTGCTCTGGCGTGGGGCCTGAGAATTTGCATTCTAAGATGTTCCCAGGTGATGCTGATGCGGCTGGTCTGGAGTCCAGGTTTTGAGGAGCGCTGCCCTTGATCACAGGTCCTCAGCTGTGGCTGCACCTTGGCATTGATCTGGAAGGGTCTCTGAGACCTGGATCACACTCTCAGAGATTCTGAGGCTACAGCTCCAACACTGGGCGTTTTCAAAGCTCCCAGCTGATTCTAATGTGCAGCCCAAATTGAGCACCACTGCCCCAAGTAGAGGAAGGGGAGCAATGTGGATGTAGAGTGGGCCCGCCCGGAGCGTCCGCCACACCCACCAGCCGCGAAGAGCAGGCAGCTGTGGGGAGGGGTTCGTGAACGCTCTATCATTGCTAACAATAATAAAAGCTAACATTTCTGAAATGTTCACACAGGCCAGGCACTTCCTTAAATCCTTTACATCTAACACTTCATGAAATCCTCATAACAACCCCATGAGATGTGTAATGGTGTTATTTGCAGTTTACATTTCAGCCTGATATATAAAGAAGTTGGGTCACTTGTCAAAGGTCAGCCAGAAAGTGATGGAGCCAGGATTTGAAAACAGCACGCCCACCTCAGTTCTTTTTTGAGACAGTCTCACTCTGTCGCCCAGGCTGCTCACTGCAACCTCCGCTTCCAGGTTCAACCGATTCTCCTGCCTCAGCCTCCTGAGTAGCTAGGACTACAGGCACACACCACCATGCCTCGCTCATTTTTGTATTTTTAGTAGAGACAAGGTTACACCATATTGACCAGGCTGGTATCAAACTCCTGACCTCAAGTGATCCGCCCCTCCACACCTGGCTAGGTCCTAGTTCTTGACCACTGGGCTAAGCAGAGTGTATTTATGATTAGTTCTTGTGAAATTTTAAAAAATATTTAGTGGGAGAAAAGCTCATTTTGTGTCTACTCTTTGCTCTGGAAACCTTTTAGGGGCATTGGGCCAAATATGATACAGTGCTGACTTTCAAATATTTGATTCCCCTTTTCCAAAGCACATTTGCCGGCGTGATCTTATTTCGACACCACCAACAGCATGATCTCTCTCTACCACTGTTCCCTCAGCCCGTGCTCCAGTGAAATAAACTGCTTCACCATTCATTTCAACTCAACCAACATTTACTAAGGACGTGCGTACTTGGTGCCAGCCAACAGGCTGCAGCTTGAGGACACAGAGATGTCAAGACCCGGGGACTCAGAGAGGCAGTGACCTGCCGAGGAGCGAGTTAAAGGCAGAGCCTGGGCCTAGCTCATCTAATGCTCTCATCTTGGAGGAACTGAGGGATGAACCGGAGAGGAAGCCGGTGTGGCAGGCACTGCCACAGTGCTCTTGCCTGCTTTGGGACTGGCATGGCCTCTGATGGCTCCTGGAGAAAAGACTCCAAGTTGGGGGCTGGTAGGAATTAGTAGAGGGGCATGAGTGCCCAGGCTTAGAGCAAGAACTTACGAGCTCCTGCTCAGACATAAGTCTTGACCCAGCTCCTTCCAGCCTCCACCTACCCTCACCGCTTCTCTACCCCCAGCCAGGCAGCTTCCCTATCCAAAGGGGCAATTACTCCAAGCAACCAGCAAGGCCAGAACCGGGGACTAATTTCTCAACATGACTCTGGTCTGGACTTTAACCACCAAGTGACATTATCCTTACAATCCTTGTGTCTGTTCATAATGTTAACGTGTAAATGTGAACATAGTAAATAACCACGATTTTTGTTACCCTGTTAGGGGCACATCTCTTTTTTTTAACATATCCAGAGGCCTTGAAATATAAGGCTGGGCACGGTGGCTCACACCTGTAATCCCAGCATTTAAGGAGGCCAGGGCGGGCAGGCAGATCACGAGGTCAGGAGTTTGAGACCAGCCATGACCAACATGGTGAAACCCTGTCTCTACTAAAAATAAAACATTAGCCAGGTGTGGTGGCGCACCCCTGTAATCCCAGCTACTTGGGAGGCTGAGGCAGGAGAATCATTTGAACCCAGGAGGCGGAGATTGCAGTGAGCTGAGATCGCACCACTGCACTCCAGCCTGGGTGACAGAGCCAGACTCTGTCTCAAAACAAACAAACAAACAAACAATATATATACATATATATATACACACACATAGAAGTGGTCCAGGCCCCTCTCCACCTCTGAGAGGCTCTGCTGAGAGATCAGGGGACAGTGGCCCAGGGAAGAAAGACTTGCCCAAGGTAACACAGCAAGCCAGTGTCAGAATCCACCAAAACCAGGACTTCTGACTCCTACCCAGGTCTCCTTGGGGTTGTGAAGGACCCCCTCACCAAAGAAACCTGCTTGTAAATGTCCCAGTTCTGAAGCAACTCATATCTACCTACGGCTTCAGCCACCACCTTTATGCAGGCCACCCTAGCCCAGACCTCTCCCACGAACGGCCCCACCCAGAGGTCTCACAAGCATCTCAGAGCCGAGGTTCCAACTCTGAACTAACCACCTTTCCCTTGAAATCTGTCCCATCCATATTCCCTCTCCCCCAACCCTCAGCTGCTCAAGCCAGAAACACAGGTGTTACCCCAGGCAGCTTCGCCTTCAACACCCCCGCAACCTCCAGTAAACCGGGAGGGCCCTTGGTTCTTCCTGCCTTTTACCTTTCTTGAGCCCATCCCTTTCCCCTGCCCTCTACCACCACATGAAGGCAACCTCATCATTCCAGACTTCATCCATCAGAAGAACCACTCCCTTCAGTTCACGCTTTCCTTCAACAAATGCCTGAACACTCACTGTGGGCCTGGCACTCTACCCTGGGCTGGGGTGCAGCACTGAGCAAGACAGCCAAGCATCTGTCACTGGCAGGACTGCACAAAATCGACCCTGACCATATCTCTCCCCTGCTCTGATCCCTGGCTGGCTACAAACCGCCCCTGGGTTCAAGTGCAAACTCCCCCATGCAGGTATTCACATTCCTGAGCCCTCCAACCGCCCTTGATCTTTCCAGACTGGTCTGTCATTGTGCCCCGACCAGAATGATCCAAACAAGCTCTTGGCCATCCTCCCCAACACCAGCCCAAAGACCACCTCCTCCACAAAGCTTCCCTGCCTAAGTCACCCACCTGACAGGGTGAGTTTTGCCTTCTTTTGGAATCCCATTGAAACCCAGGATTTGTGTGTCTGCCTCCCAGACTGGGCTGTGATTCCAGGCGCTCAGGGGCCCAGCCGTTGCCAAGCACAGAACCTGGCACTGATGGGCATCAATGTGTTGTGTTGATGGATAGACAGACAGAGGGGTGGGTAGAGCAAAGTCCAACTGCCTTTTTCATTCATTCGGTCCAGTGCCTATGCCTTTGTCGTTTTCTGCAAGTCCCTCCAGCTGTCTAACCTCCCCTGCTGGCATTACGGAAGCTCATGCCCATTTCTTCTCTCAATCTGTCCCCTTCCCTTCCCCAAAGCCCAGAGTGTCCTGCCTTTCCCTGACTGGGCAGCAAGTCAACAAGAACAAAGGTTTGGGGAGCCGACCAGGGAAAGGCCAGCCCGGGCCTCTCGGGGTCTCAATCCCTTGGCCTGTGTGTGTGCCAGAGCTTCCCACAAATTCGGGAAGAAGGTGCCGGAGGCTGGCCGGGCGGCCTTGCGGTTTGAAGCAGTGAGTCACCTTCTGGCTGCAAGTCAAGGAACTCTCACTGCGCCCTTGTTTGGACAAGACGGGGAGGCGCACTCAGAGTCACAGACTCCGGGAGCAGAGACCGGAGCAGGAAGAAGGGGTCACCGAGACCTCAAGAAAGTCAGGGAGACAGACGCCCAAACGACCGAGACAGCCAGGGACAGGTAAGGCACGCAGAGAGAAGGACAGAGGCAGCCGGCCCAGAACCGAGGGGCAGTGCAGGGAGAGGAATCGCGCCACCGGTGTAGACGGCTCGGCTCCCTGCGCACGCTCCGTCCTCCTCCTCCCGGCTCCCACCTCAGGCCGGGACCCGGACATAGGCAACAGCGGAGCCAATGGGCTTCCAGACCGGGACATTACCTCACCAGAACCGGCTGCCATTGGCCGGCGTCCCCGCCGGGGCGGGCTGTTGCTATGACAGCCCAGGCCGGCCTTGCAGAGGATGCTCGGAAGAAGGTCCGGGAGCCGCGTGCACACCTCTTTCCAGGCTGCGGTGGGGCCCAGGGACCTCTCCCCTTCCACTGAGCCCCAGAGACCCCTTACTCAGGCCGAAAGGGGAAAGCCCCGCTCCTGCTGGCCAAGGCGTCAGAATTCCTGTAAAAACGCCCATTCGGCCCCCTCGCTCAACCTGGCCCACAGTCCCTTGCCAAGACCACCCCTGCCCCCGACACACCCTGGAACCACACACTCATCCATAGATCCTGCAAACAGTAATGAGCACCCTCCAGCATCCAGGTGCAGCGCTGGGCTCTACAGAGGCAAAGATGAGTCCGCCTCCCCCTCTGTCCTCACAGAGCGCTCCCCCCCCCCCAGTCTGATCAAGCAAGCAGTCCAGGAGAAAATGACAAGGCAGTGTGTAAGGACTAAAAGAGAGCGAGCACGGGGGCTGTGGGAACACAGAGGAGGGATCCCTACTCAACCTACCAGATCAGGGGGACTGCTGGGAGAAAGCATGCAGAGCCAGGACCTGAAAGAGCCAGATGAGGAAGGGTGGGGAAGGGATTCGAGGCAGAAGGGACAGCCTGTGCAAGGACTGCAGGCAGTAAAAAGCAAGGAACACTCGAGGTAGGAAATTAGATGGTGGGGTTGGGGGCCTTGGAGAAGAGGAGGAGTTTAAAGCTGAAAGGGGAAGCAGGAATGAGATCCCAAAGGACTAGAATGCCGTGCTAAGGCATCTTGGACCACATTCTCAGGCAGTTCGTTGATGGAAGGGGAGAGGGCTATGATTAGGTTTGCATTTTAGGAAGATCTCCACTCTTGCAGCTGTGTGGAGGATGTGGGGGAGGGGACTAGGAGACCAGTCATTGCAGGGACTGGGGAGAGGCAGTGCAGGGGGGACCGAGGCCCCTAGCTGGAGTGAAGATGGAGAGACCTTAACTCAGGAGGAGGTGTAAAGGACGTGGAGCCACAGTTCAGGTGACTGTGGAGATGGCACCAGCTCACCTGGGAGGCTGGGAGGGCTTTCCTGGCAACCAGATAGGATCATCACTCTCCTTCCATATGATATTGGTGTCAGCTTGTGTATTCAACTTTTGTTTCAAGAGTCATGCTGCATTTGAAAAGATGTCTATCTCTTTTCACAGCTCCCCACCCCCTACACACACACACACACACACACACACACACACACACAGGCTGTGATTCATCTCGGTTCCCAGTACTCAGCACAGAGCTCCATCCCATTCATCCCAAGTACACTTCCATAAATCTGAACCCTCATCACCCCCTCCCCATGACCCTTGCCCCAGCCTCCACCCACCCCTCCCAGCCTCTACCCTTCCTTCCCAACCTCCATGCACCTGATTCCCATCTCTTTAGTCATGTTGTAGCTACAGCCTAGAAACTGGGGCTGCTACCCCCCTCAGGCCTATGTCCGCCCCTCCTATTATCCCTCAGCAGGGAGCAAAAGTTGCCTATCTGTTGGGTCAGATTTCTGAAGACTGATGAGGCCCATTTTCTGGTAAGTGGGGTCATTATAGTGCAATCATTGGGTTGTTATGAGAATTAAATAAGGTTTTGTTGCCTGGCACATGTAACTGTCCAATCAATCAGCTATAGTAATGACATTATCATGAGTGTTAAGGAAGACAGAGAGGGCTGGCTAGGACTCCAGTATGGCACAGCCCTGCTTTGGGTTACCTGGTGTTTGCTTCACTCATCACAGAGTGGTGTCTTGACTTCTCATTTGTCACACATACTTGTTATATACTCTCTCAAGGAAAAACACAAAACAAAGAGAGTAGGACAAGAGTCCTGGATTTCTGTCATGATACCACCTGAATACCATCAAACTCACGGAAATCCTTGATGCAGTGGTTACAGATGTCCTCTCCCAAGGAGCCAAGACAGGACAATTGAGTGGCTTCTTAAATGTCAAAAGACTCCATTCAGATCTTCCAATCAAGGAAACTTCAGCTGTCAGAGCTGGCGATGCCCTTAGGATCCTCTTATTCAACCTTTAGTTTGACATATGAGAAAACTGAGGGCCAGAGAAAGCAAGTGAGTGCCCAGAGTCACACACCTGGGTCAACCAGCAGAACCAGAGTCATTTTAGGCACCCAGTTTCCCCCTCACTGCACTTTTCCAAATCTGGTCTGTCTTGCAGTTGAACAGTGACTAGAATCTTCTCTAGCCAGGGCATACTTAGGGCCTTCACATGCTGGTTTGTTTGTTTGTGTTTTGCCTTGTTTTGTTTTGTTTTTTGAGACAGTCTTGCTCTGTCGCCCAAGCAAGAGTGCGATGGCAGTACTGGCTCACGGCAACCTCTGCCTCCTGGTTCAAGCCATTCTCTTGCTTCAGCCGCCTGAGTAGCTGGGATTAAAGGTGCGCACCACCACGTCCAGCTAATTTTTGTATTTTTAGTAGAGACGGGGTTTCACCATGTTGGCCAGGCTGGTCTCAAACTCCTGACCTCATGATCTGTCTACCTTGGCTTCCCGAAGTGTTGGAATTACAGGCGTGAGCCACCACGCCCAGCCCCACATATTGTTACATTAAACATTCATAACAGCCCTGCAGGGTGGGTATTGTTATTCCTATCTGAAAGGTCCAGAGAGAAAATAGTTCCTCCAAGATCACACCGTGTTACCCAAGCCTGTCAGGTTCCAAGGCCCACGTTCTTGGCATAGCAGTGTGTTGACTCTAAGACTCTCAGTGTGGTGTATTTGGAGCTCGTGAGCATCAGAGTGATTTGCCAATATAATCACTAAAACAAGAAGAGGTGAATCTGCTACTTGCTGAAAATGAAAGAGGACCTGGACTCTTCCGCAGATCAGTGCTTTATGTACCTGCTCTGTTGTGTGGAAGCGCTCCTCTAAAAGCAGTAGGAGTCAAAGGGCTATGTCCCATCTGAGGGTCTAGAAGAGAACCAGCTAGGAGACTGGTTTCCCAGCTACGCTTCGGCACATTTTCTAAGATGCGGCCACCCGTGTTCTCTGAGTAGAGGGTCCTCAGAATGTAACACAGGAAAGTATGTTTTACTTTTATTTTTATTTTGAGATGGATTCTCATTCTGTTGCCCAGGCTAGCATTCAATGGCATGATCTTGGCTCACTGCAACTTCTGCCCCCCAGGTTCAAGTGATTCTCCTGCCTCTGCCTCCTGAGTAGCTGGGATTACAGACACCTGCCACCACGCCTGGCTAATTATTGTATTTTCAGTAGAGACGGGGTTTCGCTATGTTGGCCAGGCTGGTCTTGAACTGCTGACCTCAGGTGACCCACCCACCTCAGCCTCCTAAAGTGCTAGGATTACAGGTGAGAGTATGTTTTAATGAAGTCTCTGCATGAGTTTGTGGATCTTGAAGTGGTCATAGATTCAAGATATCATGTGGAAAGGGCCAAGTAGGTGGCATCTATAAGGACAAATCGACTACATTCACTTCATTGTCACTGGAGACTCCCACAGCACAGTGCTCTGCAGCCTTTTCCAGCCTTTGATGGAGGAAGGGCAGTGTCCCTCAGCACTGGAAGAGATGCCATCCTTTATGGCAAAAAAAAAAAATTATCCTACATCTTCAAGAGGTTCTATTTCTAGCTCTAGAAAACACTACGACTGTTGATCAGCCAAAAAATTGTGCTGTATCTGACTCTGGAATTTTCTCTGTCCTTGGCTCTGGAAAATATTCCGGAGACATTTATAGTCCCACAACATTGTTGACTCTAGGGAAAACTCCATGGCTCCAGAGGACCTTCTGCTCCTCTGCTCTTAGTTTTGAAATTCTGCAGCCTGTTTTCGGAGGACCCTTTCTCACTGATATTGCTCTGTTCTGCCCTCCTGGCTCCAGATTATCCAATCCCATTTCTGGAAGACACTCTGTGAAGCAAAAGAACTCTACACCTGGCTCTGGAGGGCTGATTCTCTGTGAAGGCAGAGGACCACCTGACTGGCCTGGAAGACTGACTGTCCATACTCTTCTTCCAGGATCTGGACTTGACATCCCTGGCTCAAAAAGATTGACTATCTAGGGATCCGAAGGGCCTCTCTAGCTGACCTGCTATAATACCATATTTCACAAGTGCTCTCTTGACCCAGTTTTGAGATCCTGGCTAAAACCTCTCAACTCCTCTTTGTCACTTTGCTGAGAGTATACCTTAACTCCTCCAAACTCTAGGCGTGGAGGTGGCTGTGCCCCTGTATCTAGATGATTCTCTGGAATAATCTTCATTCCTGGCTTCTGGAGTAGGATGGGGAAATGTGGATGGGTTGGAGGCATAGGAAGATAAGAGGAAGCATGGAATGGCTGCCGTGACATCTGTTCTGATCAGCAACCTGAGCTGGATTTGAGTTCCACGGTCACGGGCTGGAGGCCGGAATTGTTCAAATTTCATTTCCATGAGCAGCTTGGTGAGGTTCTGGGTTCAACAGACAGAACTAATTTTGGTTCTTCAGTGCATGAGTCTCAGAGTTGGGGAAATGGAGACTGTTCTCCCCATAGCTGTTGACCCCAGCAAGGTTCATGGAGCCTGAAGGTGAGGCATCCTGGCCAAGATGTGCAGAATGATGGACCCTGGCCAAGCCACTTTATGGACAGAAACGTGGACAAGTGGAGTCAGGGCAGAAAAGAGGGCACATGACAAAATTCCCATGAGGTCTGAAGTCAGAGCTATTCAAAGGCCTTTCTCACTGAACCAAACACCCATACCCCATCCCAGGCCTTCTGCATTCCTCCTGGAATCACCAGCACTGAAGTTTAAAAATTACATTTCCCTGACATCCTTCGAGTTGGATTTCCACTGGGTTCTGCCAATGGAATGTATCCATGCGAGATTCTGGAACTAGTATCAGACAGAGTCCAAGCTGCTAACTTTTATCAATGGCAATGGCAATAGTCGAGCAGCGTTGACGGTGAGTACAGACTTGTGAGCCCAAAATGATACCACGTTCCTTTTTCACTGATACTTCCAACATTTATATGACCAATTCCCTAAATTAAATCACTTTGTCTGAAGTACCTAGAGTGGTTTCTGTTTACCTGACACTTATCAAAGATTTGAGAGTACCTACTACGTGCCAGATGTCCTAAGAACGAGGAGTATGAGTCTGAACAAGAGCGGAATAGTGGTTGGGGTCAGAGAGGTTGGGCAGGAGCAAAGCCATGCAGGGCCTTTTAAGCCAGAGGAAGAAGTTTGAGTTTCAGTCTGATTTCAATGATAAGAGCATCTTATTCAGGGAAGGGAAGGTATGTGATTTATGACTTGAGCTCTATGACAGATGAAGTCTAGCAGGCTGTAATAGAAAGGAGGGATAGAGGCAGCTATTTGAAGACTTCAAGCTGGAGATGACAGACTGAAGCTGGGGGGGAGGAGCTTACCGTTATAACATTAGGGGCTGACGATGGTAGGATGAACTCACTGACCTCTGATGAGGTGACAAGCAGAACTCTATTACTTACAGCATCAAGTGGGAGAAAGTTGCCATGCAGGGCCATGTAGGGTGTTGCACCCAGGGACAGGGGAACAGAAAGCTAGAATGTAGGAGGCAGTTTCTGTCTGGCAAGTGGAGTGGGGTTAGCAGGTCTAGGGGCTTCTTGTGGTTTGGGAATTTTGAGTGATTTCACAGACCCAAGGAAGAAGGGTTCATCCTTTGATGTATAGCAAAGAATTCCTGGGAGTGACCCAGGAGTGTCAGAGCCCAGTAAGGAAAGGGGTTGGGGTGCAGACTCAGCAAAGTACCCACTGAGAGGAATTGAGAGTTTTTAGCCAAGATCTCCAAATTGGGTCAAGAGAGCACTTGTGAAATACAGCATAACAGCATGCCAGCTAGAGAGCAGTGAGCGTGATCAGGATCTGCTTTAGAGGTAGAGCTGATGGGACTTCCGACGGATTGGACGTGAGAGAAAGAGGGACCTTGACCATGGACTTCCAGAATCAGAGGGCTCTGATTTTGAGACCTCTCATCAGATACAAATAAAGATGTTTGATAACATTTTAAAAACATATTCAAATAAACGAAGGGCTAACAAGATAGTGAGAAACAACCAGGGCTAGTTAGAAGGAAATATATAAGAACCCAGAGAGGAAAGCATCACAGAAGCCACTTTTGCCCTGAAAACACTGACCAAGAATAATAAAGAACAGGTGTAAACAAACAATATCAAAAATAAAGGGCAGGTGCATCATCACTGATACTTCAGACATCAAAAAGAAGAGAACGTGATGAAAAACTGCAATGCCAATACATTCAAATTTTTAAATGAAATAGGTAAATCCTGAGAAAAAGATAGGTTACTAATACCGACTCAAGTTAAAAAAAAAAATGCTCCAACCACTTTGGAAAAGAGCTTGGCTATTTCTAGGAAAGCTGAAAACTTTCTCTATGACCAGCCATTATAGTCCTAAGTATATACCTTAAACAAATTCAGGCATATGTGTTGTCATTAAAATGTGTAGGAATATTTTTAGAAGTACGGAAGCACTGTTAATGCTAGCTGGGGCTGGGCGCGGTGGCTCATGCCTGTCCCAGCACTGTGGGAGGCCAAGGCAGGCGGATCATCTGAGGTCAGGAGGTCATGACCAGCCTGGCCAACATGGTGAAACCATCTCTACTAAAAATACAAAATGTAGTCGGGCGTGGTGGAGCCCACCTATAATCCCAGCTACCTGGGAAGCTGAGTCAGGAGAATCACCTGAACCAGGGAGGCGAAGGTTGCAGTGAGCCGAGATCACCGCTGCGCTCCAGCCTGGGCAACAGAGCAAGACTCCATCTCAAAATAGAAATAATAAAAATAGCTGGAAATTGGAACAACATAAATATCCATTAAGAGTAGAATGTGGCATACTATGTAGTATAGTGAAGTAATATGCAACAATGAAAACGTATGAAGTACAGTTACATATAACAGGATGAGAATTACAAGTATAATATTGAAAGATGTAAAAAATAAGTATTCTGTGATTCCATAAATACAAAGTTCAAATATAGGCAAACATATATGTATATATATAGGCAAAACATATATATATATGTATGATTTATGAGAAATTTTTGAGTGCTGGCAATATTATTTCTTGACCTGAATGGTAGTTACATGAGTGTTTATCTTTACTTGTTAAATTATGCATTTATTTTCATAACTTTCGGTATATAATTTCTGTTTTATGATATAAAAAGTGTTCCAAGGAATTATTAAAAGAATGGAGCTAGGCAACTGGATGAATAATGGTGCCAATTTCTGATTTGGAGAGAGTTCCAAAAAAGGAGTGGGAAGTGGAAAGATGGAGAATCCATAAATGAGAGATTCATTCTTGCCATATAAATTCTGGCATGCCTGTTGGACATTCAAGAAAAGATCTCAAGCCTGTAATCGAGGATTGAGTCTCAGAGGAGAGGCCCCAAATCTCCATCTCAACTGAGTGGAAGAAGATATTTACAACAGACATAGCTGGCAAACAGCTTACATCAGAATATATAAAGAACTCCTGCAAATGAGTAAGAAACAGACAGACAACTTTGTGGAAAATTGGGCAAGAGACTTGAGCACACTAGGTTTTAATGTAAGAAATTACACAACTGGGTCATTGTATAGGAATGAAGTGAAACCCAGTAGCTTGGAATCCCCCTCATTGAGTCAAGAGACTGGTCGTTTCAAGTAAAGGATCTAGGATGCAAAAAATCAAAACATGTATTTTTTATTAAATCTCAGGCAAACAGCGAGAGTTTAGAAAGTATCGCCGGGCGCGGTGGCTCACGCCTGTAATCCCAGCACTTTGGGAGGCCGAGGTGGGTGGATCACGAGGTCAAGAGATCGAAACCATCCTGGTCAACATGGTGAAACCCCGTCTCTACTAAAAATACAAAACATTAGCTGGGCATGGCGGCGCGTGCCTGTAATCCCAGCTACTCAGGAGGCTGAGGCAGGAGAATTGCCTGAACCCTGGAGGCAGAGGTTTTGGTGAGCTGAGATCGCACCATTGCACTCCAGCCTGGGTAACAAGAGTGAAACTCCATCTCAAAAAAAAAAAAAAGAAAGTACCTGTGACGTGACTGATAGAATCTCACCACATGATGGAAGCCAGCCTGTCAGAAGCCTGGGAAGCCCCCACAGCCTGGGGCCTCTGTTGGTCCAGGATCTTGGACTGGTGTCCCATGGCTTAATCTTTGGGATTCAACCAAATAAAGTTACCCCACCCATGTTATGGACCCAAGCAACCTACCAAGCATCCTTAGCTTAAATGCAAGATAATACTATTTTGTTCATCTTGACTGGAGTGAGAAATGAATACCTCCGTGCACATATATTTCTTTTACCACAACAAGATGATGAAGAAATAAATTCCTAATATTGATACTTTTGTATGTCGCGTTTACAGTTGCAGTAAGAAACTTTATAATCGTTGATTTGCTTCATATACTTTCTGCTTGCTTTTTATGATATTTAAAACAAAATCTAAGCAACAAATTATATGTGTGATTAGATTTACAGAAGTTGCTTAAGTGCTTAGGAATAATTTGTTCATCATATTTGTAAGTCTCCCTTGTTAGGTGTTTGAAGTGTTTGAATCGGCTAAATTGAATTTGTAATTGTAGTTTGAAATATCTAAAGGAATTTGCTTAATTAAATGTTTAAATGATATTAAAAGTTTATGAGAATTTAATCTATCAAATTTAACAGTTAATTGAATATGAATCAATGAACAAGTAAATGTGATCTTGCTTTTATAAAAAAACTACTAAGTTCATAAATAAAATATAAAGATCCATAAGTCGAGAGGAAAAGGAAAAGCAGGAGCTAGATTCTAAGATCTATAACTTTAAGAAATTAAATATTGATTGAAATGTAAGTCATTGTAATTATCCCCACTAGCTGAATTCTCACATCCGAATGCTTACACACAAAGCAAAATGTTGCCCCACACATACTAAACAAATAAAAAACTGTGTGGTAATTACTATACACATGGTCGCTGCTGGAAGCATTCACATTGCACTCAAATCCAGGTTGGGGGTTGCAGCCTGTGCTACAGGTGAATCCCGGCTGTTCTCCTGTGGGCATCAGGTCTTTTTCTTAATTATTTTCCATACATTTTTCTTGCTTTAGCCAGAGACCTGGAGGCCCTCCCAGCCCAGGCCCAATTCAGATGGATTCATAATGAACGTCATTAACCTATTGATCTACTTGTTTCTTTACACTGCGGCATGTTTTTCACAGTGTTGCAGACAGAAAACCCCTTTGTGTCGTATACTGAATAATATCCAGGCACACAAACCTAGCCACTGATTGTTTAGGGTTAAGTTACTGAGTGATTTTAAAATGATAACAATTTTTTAAATTTACTTCCGTGTAAAATGATTTGTTTTAGGCAGAAATCGTGGAAAGATTGCTAGATCGGTGTTTAACGATGCTTTTGAGATATTTGAGTTCATTGGTTGGGAGTTTGGGTGGGCCCGGAACGCCATAGGCTCAAAACTTTTTCCTTCCAACACATCTTCAGGAACAGATTCAGTTCACGTGGTGGAATGCTTGTACTTCTCTTCTGGGCACAGAGCGCTTCTCAGAGAGAGAAGGAAAGCTTCGTTTCTCTCTTGTCACTGGAACATTTAATTTCCCATTTGTTTTTCATCTCTGTCTGGGAAGTCTCCAGGGAGGATGATTGATTTGCCAAGAGGTGTCTTCGATTCCAGGGCCTTGGGCAAGTCACTATATTTACCCCATTAGAAGCTCACCTACCCCCTTCAACAAAGGATGTCATTGTAGATATTGAGAAATGATTCCACTCTCCCTGCTGAAAGGACTGGCTTTGGGGCAGCTTTCTGAAGGTCAAGGTTCAGTTCATAGACTGTTAATACATGTCTGAACAGATGTGGATATTAGTTGTGTTATCCATCTTTTAACCCTTGATTTTACAGTGTGGAAACTTGATGGTCGGAGGAGGAAGCCAGGCCTTCCCATGGCACCCATTAGGTACTGTCAGTCCCAGTGGGCCAGGCCTTGCTCCTCTTCACTGCCTC